TACATACATGATATAGCGACATATCAAAACTGCACGATACCCATATCCCGGGGATTAGTAAAGTCAGACGAGAGAGTGCGAAGGACCACCGCGATGATACTATTAATATCATATACCCTACCTACGTAAGGACGTAAGTATTTTTTTCGAACTTTTTTTTTTCCTTTTTTGATTTTTATTTAATAATATCCCCAATTTTTTTTCACTTCATAAATGTTTTCCTCGTCTCTTTTCCCCATGTTTTTGACTCCAGATCTCCATTTCTCAAAGGCATCCCATCCCATAAGAACTTTTTGAAGTTTTTTTTTTTTTTTTTTTTCATTTTTCCCATCTTCAACCCTTGTTCACTCAAGACTTGTCAATAGAATATTTTTCTTTTTTTAAACTTTTTTCCTTTTTCGATCTTTCCAGAGACGTACTTTGTTTTATTATAATGTTTTTTCCCTCTATTCCAATAAATACCATCTCCCTCGCCTTTATATCCGCATCCTGGAAGATTGTCACGGATAAAAAGCGAGCGAGGAGTGTATCCAGAACGCCTACGACATTTGAATGTGAATGCCTCAAACGCCAATGACAATTCTCAGGTGATCTGATCGTAAAAACTCGCATCCATCGAAGCTTAAGCTAAAGCTAAAGCTCGAGCTCGCGGATCACCCCAGAGATATCCGAGTCCGCCCGGATGCAACGCTGGAGAGAGAAAAACCCCAAACTCCTATATATTTGCTACCTTTTAAACTTTTCCAACCTTGCTGCTGCCTCGCTACTAAGATGAAGACTTTGTGGATGAGACTGGTCGAACCGTAAGAAGAAAGGGCACATCGCATCATCTAGGTTATGAATCGGGGGTTTCAATAGCAGGGTTCCAAAAAACAAAACACTTTTCCATATACGCCGCCCAGTTCAATCCCGCGTATTATTAATGTACCCTGCCCCAATCACTACGACCTGATAGGCACATTCATTATTGATGATTGCGAAGAGAAGAGGTGCTTACAAAGCCATAGCCAAGGCAGCAACAGCAGCGAGAGCTGCGATGGTGCTGGCACTAATGCTGGAGGCTGTGCCCTCGAAAATCTTGGGGGTGTGGGTGCTGGATGGAGCTGTAGCTGTTGCGGATCCATTGTTGTTGTTGGTTGGGGTTGAGGGTCTAGTTGGAATACTAGTTGGAACAACAGCTGGAGTGTAGATTGAGACATCAGTCGAGCTGGAAGTTGGGGTCTCAATTGGAACAACAATTGGAGTATGGGTCGAGACAACAATCGAGCTGCTAGTTGGAACAACAACTGGAGTATGAATTGAAACTCCAATCGAGCTACCAGTTGGAACGACAACAACTGGAGTATGAGTCAAAATCCCAGTCGAGCTGCTACTTGGAACAACAACCGGAGCATGAGTCGAGGCTCCAGCAGCAGAGCTAGTCTTAACAACCAACGTAGTAGATTGTAAAACAACAACCGACGAAGTTTCCGCCGGAGGAGCAATGTGAGTTTCACTAGAGACAACAGCCGAGGTCTTAACAACAGCTGGAACTGTAACGGGAGTGGTAGAGTTCTGGTAGAGTGGAATGAGTACAGAAGGTACATGTGTAGGTTTTGGGGATTGGGGAATGGGGAACTGTGGATTTGATGGTGGGAGGAGCAATATGAGTTTCGCTAGAGACCACAACCGAGGTTTTAACAACAGCTGGGACTGTAACAGGAGTGGTGGAGTTCTGGTAGAGTGGAATGAGTACCGAGGGTACATGTGTAGGTTTGGGGAATGGGGAATGGGGAACTGTGGGTTTGGTGGTGGGGGAGGGGTGGCTTGTAGGCTCTACAGTTGAAGAAGTGTGGCTTGTTGGTGTGGCAATTGAAGAAGTGTGGCTTGTAGGCTTTGCAGTTGAGGAGGAGTAGTGAATCGTAGGTGTTGCAAGTGAGGAAGCAGGAGCTGTATTCTCAGAGACGATGGGTCCAACAGGAGTAGCGGAAGGTGGAGTATTAAGCTTGTTGGTGATGGTGCAACCAGCCGGACAAGCAGTGACAGTGTGCCATCCACCAGCTGTTACAGTCTTAACTGTATACTTATTGGCGACGACGGTTGCTGTTGGACAGTAGGTGGCATAGGCATTGACGACCTGGGTAATGTATGATGCATTACCATGGTTGATGATGACATTGCCATTATTTGTGTTGCCTAGTAAGGTTAGATCATTCTGTTACCTGGTAACCTTCACAGAATATGAAGAGAAACAAAAGTCGATATCTATCATACCTTGAAGAATATTGCTGTTATCGCTTGCAGAACCTTGCTGTTGGGTGTTACCTTGTCCACTGACAACACCTTGCTGTTGCTGCAAAGTGTTACCTTGACCACCGACTTGAGCATTGGCGGTGTTGTCACGTTCGACGATAGGCTCTGCAACAGCGTAGTTACAGAATGCGAAGATCGAAGCTATTTGTGCGAGGGTAAGCTTCATGGTCACGGTTGGGTGAGGAATATTGTAAGGTGAAGTTTTAGGCTACGTAGAATTGAAGATGAGAAGCAAACTTTGGGAATTATTTGGTGGAAGGGTGGGAGACTCCGAATATATACATATCCATTATGTGCTAAGATCTAGTGTCTTCACTTTCCTTCATCAACACGTCATAGTTGGATGACAGTGTCAAAACGGTGAAATTGCCGATCAAAGGCACGATTCATCAGTTTCACGGGCAACGGATTGGTTCACAATAGCAATGAGGGATTAATCTTGATATTGAAAGAGCTGTTAACTTGTTTAGATGTGAAGAGAATTTTCTTCTCATTGGAGCTACGAATCCTGACTATATACTGACTCGTACTCGGACTCGCCACGTCTCATTATGATGGATGGAGTGCGAACAAGACCAAGTAAGAATACAATTGACCAAGGTTGTGCAGAAGTAAAAGTTAAATGTAGTAAGTAACTTACACTTGGGTCTAACTCAGTCGATCTGGGACTGTCAGAATGATCTTCTTACACTATAGTCCAACCTCCTTCTTAGCATTGATAACATTACCACGGAGAAATCATTCTAAGAGAAATATTCGACCTTGGATTCCACAGGTCATAGTGCTCAAAGAGCTCTAAAAGCATACTTTGGAGAATCGCACCAAAAGCTTAGAATAGTAGAGGTGAAATCTCTTCAAAGGAGCCTACTTGGCTCTCTAATCTAGTACCACCTGCCAAACTCAGCAAGGAGGATGCGTTTCAATGCCAATTCAAAATTTGCCATTTAACGGTATACAATTTGATAAATGCCATACAAAATTGTGGGCTTCCCATCCAGCTCCGCTGTAGATACATTGGGAAATGAATCTTCAACCCCCCGGCTTGATGTCAGGGAACAATTTTCTTTTTTCTGAGACATTCCCACTCGGAGATCTACACTCTGATATGGAACAGAGAGCAGAAGGGGGACAACAGACCTGCAAGGAAACCGGGTCACTGGCGAAGGTGTGCCAAAGATTGTCAAAGAATATGACCAATTGAGCCATCAACTTCGGGAACTTTCGGAGGCAGCACTTGAAAGCTTTTACAACCGCTCGAAAAGAGGCTATCGCCAGTCCATATGGTGTGAGGCCTAATATGGTAAGTACGATGATCATGGGCCTACTATATAATCATGATTCGTAGCACCAATAATAAGACAACCATCTTCACACCTACAAGAATAATCCATTCAACGGTACCGGGGATTAACCCAAAGATCGACGCTGGTTGTAGATAGAGTTTGGGTTTGGGGGGGGGGTTAGTCAGTGTCTGGAGACCACCAAGTTTTAAAGTGGGTCTTTTGATGTATTAACGGTAAAGCTTTGGCAACGGTTTCTGGAGCTTGGAGAACTTGCGAATTAGTACACATTTGGTTCATTTTTGAGTTCAGTTGTCAATCATCAAGGTGATGTCTCGTAATAGAAGCCTCCAGATGGCTCGCACAGACATCTCTATCGAAAGTGTATCACACCCCTCGGATGAACTGTCCGTGACCTGGATCTTCAGAGGTTTCGCTTTCCGTGAAGGGTGAGAACCGCGTTAGGAATGAACTCTGGTTCTGTCCTACAGAAAAAATGTTGTTTCCTAGAGAAAAGTTTGGCATCCAAGAAACCAGAATTATGATAACTTCAAGAATCTGATTTGGAAAACATCGAATAACCAATACCAATGGCTGGCTCACCAAACGTACACACCGTCACCGCTAAAAGAAGGGAAATAAAGACAAATCCATATTAGAACAATTTTGAAATAGCCAAGAATTGTAAAGTGTACCTAAACTCCATCCCTAGTTCTAGATACAGTTCTCCGGGATCCGGGATTCTTTTGTGTTAACCAGTGTATTCTCATCATCATCTGAAATAAAAAGTGCAACCTCGAGATATCGTACAAACGCCTAATTGCATGCAATGATGTACTTTCAAAATATCATATCATCTGTAACTTTCCTCTGGCGCTCCGGAGAATAGACCAACTCTAGTTCGGTGACTCTAATAAATATATATCAATATCTGCTGCTATCTCCACACTATCATATTTTGATTTTGAGGAAAACTTACGCCAGGTAATTTGGGTATCACGACTCCGAGAACAGCGAGAAAATTGATGATAAAATAAGTGAGATCGTAATGGGTATAATGGGTACTAATTAGGAACAACACGATCGGCACACTCATGAGGAATTTCTTCGCAGGAGTGTATTGAGCTCCATTATCAATTTGTTCCCACATGTTCAAATTGTCGTAGGCTCCCGCGTTGAATTCGAAGGGAACACCACGGACCCAGTGAAACATGAGAAAAGAACCAAACATGTACGATATATTTGTTAACGTCCAAGATGTTTCTTGGGAAACGCCAGGGATTATATCAAAAAGAATCTTGAGGCACGCAATTAGAACCAAATGTATTGTCCAGGCACCTGTTAAATGAAGTTGTTAGCATGACGGGAATCGAGGTACTTCATATCCATGTAGAGATCATGTCACAAATATATGCTGTCCAACTCTACACAGCCAAATCCAGGAATCGCTGACCTTTTGCATTGACCCAATTGGCATTCAGATTGGGCAATGCTGCTTGATCGCTCATATGTTCAATGGTCTCCGGTGGCTCCTGATATAACAAACTGCTCGACCGCCTCCTTCGTCCAACCTTTTGATCGTTCATTGCTCGATATGGACCCGTCGAACGAGGTGGATTTGAACTCGCGTCGTAAGAGACGGTGCGAGGGAGGAGGAGTGGAGAAGACAGCTTGGCGGTAGTTGCGGAAGAAATTTTGAAGCTTGGGAAACGCCTACGAGAGAGCGTTTTATCGTAATGTTAAGATGGATATTTGGGTTTGTAACAAGATATAAAGGGTTTGATGACCGCTGTCGAAGCTCCTAGCTTTGAAGAGAGTGTCAGCGATGAACTCCTTGAATATTCATGATGTTTAATGCAATAAACAAAATGAGAGATGTGGATATCCGAAAGGATCCAGTTATCTAGGTCGGCATACATTTGAAGAAACTTAGGGGCTTACTTCTGAGTAATCGCGAGGCACTTTAAGATAATGACAAAACGAAAGACTTTAAATAAAAGAAATATAAAGATGATTGAGATTTGGGGATGATGAATTGAATTATCAACGACCAGAACGCTCAACCGAGGAATTGGGAGGGAAGCTGGAGTTTCTGAGAGATAGGCGGCGTGAGATGTGAGGGGCGAGGCGTAAGGAGGAGGAAGAACGAAGAGATGAGTAGTATGAAGTGTGGAAAAGAAAATAAAATAAAGGCTGCGGTTTGGGGTTATTGTATAGAATGAAAAGACGTGCGGTGAATGATGAAAATGGGAGAGGGGGCAAACGGGGAGAATTTGGAGATATTGGTATTTGGTGTTGTTGTTCTGATTTAAGTCGTCTATTTCGGTGTTTGCTTTGGGGTCCTCGTCTTGGATCCTTGGGGTCTTTAGTCTTTGGGGGATGAGTTAATGCTCGGGGGAATTGGACCGATCTAACTTTTCCGTATCTGGCAGGATTATGTAGGATTATGTAGGGTTGTGTAGGGTTATGTAGGAGGTAAGGTATAAGGTAGCTCAGGGTATGCAAGAGGCTGCTGTATTCGAATTCTGAATTTTGTATGTTTTGTATCTACAAAATATTCCCTATTCAAAGTGGAGTGTGATCTACGTCGATATTTTCTGATACACTTGACCTGGCTTTGTCTTTATTAATTAATCCCTAGATATCATTTGATAGGTGTCACTTGATAGGAGTCATTTGATAGATATCATTTAACAGATATCATATCTAGATTGATTTATATATTAAGGGCAAAATATATACAAGACAAAAATCATTCGAGAATGTTTAGAATATTCTCTGGAAAGTAACCAATCAACACCTCATCTTCAAGGGCATTTCACTTTTATGGTTAGTCTAGCCGAAATGAATTACGCACGTCTACCCATCAGCCAATCAAAGCTTCTTTGCCGAGGCAGAACATCAATTTCAAGAAAAAGATTGTTTTCATGATAACGGAGCCTGGAAACTTCTTGTTATTTCATTTTCGAGACACAATCTATTTATCTAATACATCGCAAATTCTGCCGTGATAACTGCACAGCAGATAATTCAACCACGTACAAACACTAGAGAAAACAAAAGCCTCTTGCTTATCATTTACATGAAAGAATTTCAAGCTTCAGGAGTTCCCTTGATACTTTGAATTTGCTCCTATGTTTACAAGGACAGGACAATCAATACCAGCTTTCACTAATTCTTCTAGGAATCCGCCCAAAACATCCACCTGTCGTCCATACCCGTACTTGAGTACATATACCGACATCCGTGCATGTCGCAATCCATTGTGCTGAGTTATTTTGATCTTTGTCTGCCACGGGAGCATTATCAAAAATGGATTCGCCAGCAGAGGATGTGGTTGATTCGCGATCGAATGTGGTTGGAAGGAAACGCGCTTTACACACATCCTCGGACCAAGGTAGAGAAATCGTCTCAGTTGATTCTTCTTCTGACGAATCGCCGGAACAACCTCGAAAGAGGGCAAAGCAATCCCCTGCGGAATCTGCCAGAGTTGAGATCGATCTCACATCCTCGCCGTTGCAAAAGGACTCGGCAGCAGGAACTGTTAAGCCTGGAGCAAATATTGTACAACCGGTGGCCTGGAACCAAGGCGTACAGAGCGGGTTGCGAACATCCTTCAAGAGCAAGAAACTGGCGTTGCCCCAGAATACCCCCCTGAAAGAAACAGAGCAAGACCTAAATAATAATGGACAAGGTCTCGTCAGCCCACAGGGTACCGAAGTTAATCCTAACACTGTTGAGAAATCCAAAGGAAGATCTCATCAGAAGCCGATCTTGACCAGAAAACAACTGAGTAAGCTATCAGAAGAAAGACAGCTGGTCTTGATGACAGCTTATACCCAGGATGTTTCTGCTTTGATAGATCTTCATGGCTGGCCAGTGCCGGAAGCATCTCAACAGAGCTGCTTGAAGTACATTGAAGATGGATTGACTTTTTATCCCACTCCAATAAAGAAGGATCAGCCTGTAGGATACTACTCGTTCGGCGGTGGTGATGTTCAGCTACGAGAATTGCTTAATGCGGAAGGCAAACCAATCATGATTGAACATATCACTTACTCTGATGTCCTTTGTGCGCTTGTGGCAAACAACGAGTTCTTCAAAAGTGGGTTGTCAGACAAACGTGCCAAGGCCTCCTTCAAAGCTTATATGAGACATTTCTACAATCATGTTCCGCACAGGGAAATTTTCACAACTTCTCTCGTGGAGAAAGCCCCCTTTTTCATGGACGTCCTCAAAAACTCTAGACCACCTTCAAAAGGAAATGTCAAGCCCACGCCTGAAGAACCTTTCAAGAAGAGTGGCGAATCGAGCAACCAGAAAGTTACCCAAGCCCCAGCAGCTCAAGTCCCCGTGGTCATCGATTCTGAACCAAACACTGCTCCGGCCAAAACTTTCAGCAGAGCTGCTCCACCCGACTTGACCCGAGCGCTTGATCATTATGACGCGAATGCCGCTCCTGCAATTACCAATAAAGATGTAGTCGAAGATGATGCATTAGCCACCAATCCTACAACAGAATCCAATGGCAAGTTGACCGCGCGAATTTCTCCGACTCTGGTTACGGACATTATCGACCCGACCCGAGATCGCAGGATTCTTACCGAAGCTGATACAGTTCAGATGGATCATGGCTCCTCTGGCTCTATAGTTGAAAGTGATATGGAGCCCCCTCTAGTCGATCCTGCCGTTGAGATTGATGATGACCAGGACTCTAGTGCCTCGCGCGAAAAAGTTTCAAGTCCAAAGCCAACTCCAGAAGACCGTGCTGCAATTCTGAAATACTTTCCAACCAGTGATGGCACCATTCTCAGAAGATGCTTGGTCTGCGGCTCTAGTGGACACGATCGAGCTCTATGCCCTGACAGCGCGTGTTCTTCTTGTGGCAGCACGGGTGATCATCTGACTCCAGCTTGCCCCCGTACTTCAGTCTGTGGTAAGTGTCGTGGAGTGGATCATCAGACGTCGCATTGCCCCGAGAAACTGCGTGCTGCCAAGGAAGATACCAAATGTATAATGTGTCAATCTCCAAGCCATCTTGAAAATCAATGCCATTTAATTTGGAGAAGTTTTCTTCCTGGCATCGAGGAAATCAAGAAGGTCCGAAACATATCAGTATATTGCTACTTTTGTGGTCGTGCAGGTCACTTTGGCCCTGAATGTGGACTATATCGTGGAGAACCCGCTTCTGGTGGAGTATCTTGGTCAAGTAGTAACTTGGAAAAGTATCTCGATGATGCTACTAGTCATGATTCTACGTCTTTAGGGGGTAGTGATCATTCAATTCCTAGTCGTGCAAAGAAGGGCTTCAGCATCAAAGGAAAAGCCAATGATCCTATCGAGCTAGACGATAGTGATGATGACGAAGATTTCATCCATCCGAGAGTCAACATGGGTTCCAAAAACAGTCAAATTCAATTCTCTCAAGTTGGCGCAATGCAATCTTTCAATCAAGAGCCCCCTTTCCAGTTCCAGGGTACTCGTGGCAACCCAAATAGTAAGGCATCTGGTGGAAACCGAGGTGGTCGTGGCGGCCGTGGAGGCGGTGGTAGTAGTGGTAGTAGTGGAGAGAAAAAGAAGCCGAAGCAAAAATTTGGAAATACCCCTCCTAGAGGTGGTGGTTCAGACCGTAAAAAAGCCTACCGCGGTAGAGGTGGAGGCGGACCTGCTCGAGGAGCTCCACGTGGTCGCCGCTGATGACCTCTTGGGGAGTCGTTGCTAAGATGTCAATCTGGTGTCAATCTGGAATGTCTTTACAAAGTATGTGATCCTACAATGATAAGGCTCATGCTACATCATAGGATCACATGTACATTGTAACACATCTCAGCCTGACATCTGTTGATACATATACCAACATCCTCAAGATCTCATCATCATGGATGCTCCTTCACGCCACAGTCGTAAAATAAATGATATTTGGTATCGTACATAATTTTTTTCAAAAGCATAATTTGGCGTTTGGGAACTCTAGACTAGAAAGTCGAATGTGTGATTAAATAGCTCGCGCTGTATATATGTATATGGTTTAAAAGAAAGCATATTATATTATATTATATTATAAACGTAATGATTAGTATGGTATGATGGTATAGTCTTATGAATAAAAGATTTATATTTGCGGTTTGGCATGTTATGTAGTCTGAGCGAATGAATGGTTTGGAGGTACTTAGAAGTTGGGGTGATGGATTGATTGATTGACTGATTGATTTTGTATGATTATGATTATGATTATGATTATGATTATGATTATGATTATGATTATGATTATGATTATGATTATGATTATGATTATGATTATGATTATGATTATGATTATGGTTAATTAGATGTGTAAATAAATAAATAAATAAATAAATATCGAGTTTGAAATTAAAGTCTATGATTTTATTAAGAATATCTATTTATATGTTTATTTATTTATTCGCTACTTTATCATACACTATATTACACCTAATTATAAAGAAAAGATTATAATATAGAAAGTTCATACTGTCACACTCAAGAATACTGGGTAAAGTATCTTGTATTAGAAAATACTAAGCTAAGGAGAAAAGAAGAAGGAAAACAAGAGTAGAGATTGATTGATTGATTGTGTTTATCGTCATAGGCCGTAGGCCCACGCGCCTTGGCGCGTGATAACCTTAGCCATCTATTCCAGTTTTGGACAAATGACGCTCAGAGGAGAAGCCTCTGAGTGGTTTACTAGCTAGCTAGGGGGAGTATTTTTATACAATTTAAAGGGGGCTAGGGCAGGGTTTACATGATTGCCTTCGCAGGGGGGGTTTGGGCCGGTAGGCCTTTTGGGGTTGTAATTGTGGTCATCCTCGTCCACTAGATCACTACCTCTTGATCTCTCTCCCTGTCTCCTCGTACTTGTTTTGGTTGTTCGTATGCATGCTTGTTTTTTTTTTTTTTTTTTTAATGAAAGAAAAGGGAAAGATGAAAGAGAGGAGAGAAGAGGAAGGAAAAGCAGCCTTAGAGACCTGTTAACTCCGTTTGAATCCAATGAAAGAAAGAAAGTTTTTTTATTTTTTATTTTTTATCTTGCACCTGTGTGCCACGGGCAGATTTTTGTGTAGAACTTGGTGTATTCTAGCCATTCGGCTAGTTTGGCTATACCGGTGGGATTTCTTAGAAGCCAGGGGATAGCTTCGGAGGGGGGGCTCTTTGTGAGCGCTTTGAAGGCTTTTCCTTTTTTGCAAAAGAAAAAGTGTAATGGAGTTTTCCTTTTACCGCACGAGCAATGGACGTGGGCTGTAGTGTGATTGAAGCGTTCATGGTATGCTGCGAAGTCGCCATGCTGTGATCTGATAGCGAGAATATGGTGGAGTGTGGCTCTCTTCAGAGAGAGGGTGTCTGTATTAGAAGTGTGGTTGAATTGGAGATCTTTGTAGTATTGTGGGCTGACTATATTCCATAATTGTTCGTCTGCTTTGTTGGCCCTTGTTCTGATCATTCTTTTTAGGGATGCTAGCGTACAGATCGGGTTGAGGGGAAAGGGGAGTTTTGTTCCTTCCTTAGCGGCTTTGTCAGCTATTTCGTTGCCAGGGATATCCAGGTGCCCTGGGACCCATCGGACGCGGATTTTCCCGGGGGAGGTGTGTGGGAGCCTTGGTCTAACAGCCCAAGCTTGTGTGAGCTTCAGAAAGTCTTCAAAGACTCTCTGTGAGGAACCATTGAAGTGGGATCCTAATCGGAGAGCAGCCTCGTGGTTGTCTAAGAAGATCCAGAGATCTGTGGCCAGTTTGGTTGATGCTAGAGTGAGGGCTTTTGCTGTCCCTGCTACTGCGGCTGTGGCTTCTGCATCGAACACTTCTGCATTTGTGCCTAATGAGAAAGAATGGTGTGCTATCTGAATATCGAATTGTGAGATTACGAATCCGCCCCCAGTTGCGTTATCCTTGCTTTCACTTTTTGAGCCATCCGAGAAGATTTGTATATCGCTTCTTGGGATCTTGGCGTGGAAGGCTTTGAAGTCTTCGGCTGCTTGTGCCTTCGTTCTGCCCATCGGACCATTGATGCGGGCCTCGGCCTCTGCCCTCGACTCTCTGATTTCCCAGGGTGGGAAGGCCAAGGGGTTTATGTGTTCAGTCTCCGGTAATGCTGTGATGAGCCTTGCGAATCTTGTATCTGGGGTGCGGTTATATTCTCTGGCTTTGGTTATGTTCTCTGCTCTGATCCTGAGAGGATGGTAAAGGTCTAGTCTGGTGGTTCGTGCCGCATATAATTGTGAAATCAGGTTTAGCTCGATCTCGGATGGTCTGAGTTTGGCTTCCTCGTAGAGTACTGCTGTGTTTGTGGTTTTGTATACTGGGAGGATTGCCCTTGTACAGGTGATTACCACTTTGTTGAGTAAGCTTAGATGGCTGTCCACTACATTTGAGATCGAGATCGGGTTGTTTAGAGCATTCTTCTTTGTTCTGGTTCGGCCTGGCCACCACGTTTCCGAGGCGAAATAGCACTTTTTGAGTATGCAGGCTTCAGCCACTTTCCTGGTGAGATATGGGGGTATCCCTCGGTGTGTATTGCTGAGGGATCTCAGTGCGTTGGCTCCCTTGAGGGCTTTGGCTGCGAGGATCTGGACATGTGGTTTGAAGCATAGTTTCCTATCGAAGTGGACTCCGAGCCATTTGAGCGGGCCAGGTTTGACCTCTATATTCATAGATCCGGTGTGTATTGCAGGGGTATCCGTTAGTGTTCGGTGTCCTTTATAGAAGTGTATAAGCTCAGATTTCTTGGGGTCAAAAGTGATACCTTCGGTTTTTCCCCATTCGAGAGTTTCTTGCATATCCATTTTTAGAGAATCGCAGTTTGTCTGTAGTGAGTTTGATGTCGCTAGTATCGCGATATCGTCTGCATATCCGAATCTGCTCTGTGGTTTGCCCATCCAGAAGAGAGGCGCGATGTAGAGCATGAACAGGATCGGGGAGATCGGTGAACCTTGAGGAAGACCGCATTCTAGCTTTGTTTCCGGGCCAGTCTCGCCGTCTAGTCGGATCTTGATGGATCGATTAGTGGCGAAGGACTGAACCCATCTAACCAGGTTGTTTGGCCATCCTTGTTCCCGAAGGCGATTCACTAGTCTTCCTGGTAGCACTGCGTCAAAAGCACCTTTTACATCCATTGTGAGCAGGGTGGTCTTTAACCCTTGTTTTAAGGATGCCTCAATGTCATGTGTAACGCAAGTGGTGAGGTCCACTGAGGATCGCAAGGGTAGAGCTCCGAGCTGCTGGTTCGCTAGGACTTGGTAGTTTAGAGCAAGCCATGATACCTTCTTCGCAATGAGTCTTTCGAGGCCTTTGCCTAGGACCAAGAGCAAGGCAATTGGTCGGTATGATCTTGGGTTGGTATAATCTGACTTGTTGGGTTTAGGGATGATTACGATAGTAGCTAATCGGAAGCATTTTGGGTAATATCCTAAATGTAGACAGCCTTTGAAAAGGAATAGAGTTACTTCTTTTATCTGTAGCCATACGACTTGTAGGATTTTTGTTGGGATTTCGTCTGCGCCAGGTGCTGTGTTCCCTGCTTTTAAAATGGCCAGCTCTATATCTTATATAGCTATATCAGGGAAGGTGATAGATCTACTTGGGGCTGTAGGGGTATCGAACGGGATGTCGTCAACCTCGGCTAGGTTTGTCAGTAGGTTGTTGGCAAAGGTTTCCCTTTTCTCTTCGATAGTATTTGCAATGGTTTGTTTTGATAGATCTGCTAAAGGGGGGGTATGGTATATTCCTGTGGATTGATGCCATTTGGTTATTCGATATACATCGTTTATATCTTCTACTTTATCCACTTTCGTAATATAGAAAGGTGTGTTTTGCTTTTCGGATTATTTTCCCGAAGAGAGCGTTTGGATGTAGGTGTATTGATGATTCTATGTTTATACACAGCCTTTATACAATCCTTGTTCTACCAAGATTGTTGAAGAAGCCCGTTTATGGATCTTCTTGCAGATCCTGTATAGGCTTTTGTAAGGGCTTGTGTAAGGGATGATGCGGCTTGATCTAGGTCTCTTAGAGAGGGTGTCCTGGGGATAGCTGCAATGTTGGTGAGATTAGTTTCTAGTAGGTCTTTAAAGAGCGTTTCATTCAATATATTTAGCTTGAGTTTCTTTGCAGGCTTTTGGCTTCGGTAATTCCAGTGAAGGTAGGTTTTTAGGGTGCTGTGATCTGAGGTGCACTCTAGTTGTTCAGCGAGGGCGGTATACGCTGTATAGGGCCCTGAGAGGAAGGTGAGGTCCAAGACGTTTCCCTTTGAGTGAGTAGGAGTTCCGATTGGGGAGATGAGGTGTAGATTCCGGGAGTTTGACCATTCTACAAAGGGTTCGGCTAGCGTTGAAGGGGATGGATGGAGGGGATTCCAGTTGGGGTGGTGGAGGTTGAAGTCGCCTAGTAGGATGGCGTTGTTTGGGAAGTTTTGGAGTTCAAAGAGTGCCTTGATGGCTTGATTGCCATCTGTGCATTGTGTTGAAGCGTTGTAAATATTTATAATGGTAAATATTGTATTATTTGTAGATATTAATTGTATAAATATTAGGTCTCTGGAGATTATCGGTCTGATCTGGTTGATCTGAATTCCTATTTCTTTTCTGATATAGGTGAGGACACGAGGGTTTTCCTTCTAATCGTCTAATGGAGTGAAGATTTCGTAGGAGGGGTGAGTTTTGGTGATTTTTCTTGAGGTATCTTTGTATATATATGGCTCCTGGATCGTGATGATATCAATTTGATCCATATTTGCTAGATTGAGGACGAGATCGTGTGAGATCCCTCCTTTACCTACATTGGTTTGGGTTATCGTAAGCGGTTTATAGTTCATTAAACGGGATAAGGGTTGGGTTGGCGATTGTTGCAAATCGATTAGCGGAGCGGGTGCTGAAGAGGGTTGTGGAGTGAGTGGAGCCGAATAGGCGGGTGGGGGTTCTTGGCCTAAGTTGGTCCGAGGGGGAGGGAGGGGTAGGGGAGTCGGCCATTTGTGCATCGGATGATGGCTTTGAGCATCCAGCCTTTACACAAACAGAGTTTCTGTTTTCGAGGTATATCTTCCGGATTGTCTGGTGTT